ATAGCATATGCGCAGAATATACGAATCAGTTTGGCGCTTAGACTAGCCAAACTCGTTAGCTCAACTAAATGAAATATAAATAAATAATTAATAATAATTAATTTTATATAATATAAAATTGTATCAATATATTACATAAGTTAATTTATATAGACAATATTATTTTTAGATTAATGTATACTAGAATTAAGCTCTCATTAATTCAATAAACCTCAAAATATGGTTTGAAAAGGGATGAGTTAAGCCTAAATGTCATTAAATAATAAGTTATAAGAACAGTCAAAACGGTAATATTTCTTGCACTTACTTCGCCCCATTAATTTAAAGAAAAAGTCAGCCTAATTAATTATGGATATAACAACGAAAAACTTAGAATTGGTTACCGTCTCCTCTAGCTTTATAGAGGTGGTAAAATCTTATTAGGCATTGTAGAGCACCAAGCATTAACTTCTCCGTCATATGCTTGGCTGTATTTGCAGTTTATTTCTGGTGCAAGAATACTTACCTAGGAGTTCACTAGCCCCAATGTCTTCATAATCAGCGGCCATTGTTATTCATAACACTGAGCTACAACTTGTAAAAGTACTAACTAAATCACATTTATTTAGTCGAAAAATTGCGATCTCCACCTTACTTTTACTCTGTATTTCCACATTCCTCATTCTCTTATCTCCCTATCATACTTCTTTTCCTACTTATATTGGAATATTCCGGACATGTTTTGTTTAGGTGAGTTTAATAGGCATTTTTACACCTCGTGTCAGTCTTATTTCCTTGTTTGATATTCTGGAAAATCTGATCCGAAGGAGAGCTTTTAGTTTGCAAAATACTTTATTATAATTCTGACCGAATCTACATCGCGCCCTCGAGGATCCGTTTATTTACGCGTTGAGTGTATAAATTCATTTAGATCCATAAATCGTATAATTTTTATTTTAAATCGTTTATCTTGGGTGTTTTATAGCCCGTAACTTTTGGCCTAGTATGGTATAGCAACGAGGTCCTAATTAGCTTTCTTGTTGATATAACTTTAGCGCTAAATACTTTATATTTATCTCCGTTTGACTTCTGTATTTGGTCTATCACATTTTATAATTTTTTTAAGAGCCAGTTCTTTGAATTCTTTATTCCATATTTCAGAATTCAGCTATTATTCATTGTTTTTCATTTATAAGTAGGTTTTTGTGACTTAGTAGATAATTAAGGTGTATTCACCATATTTTGTTTCCGCAATGGTATGAACATACATTACGTTTCCATTGAATTGCTTCCAAATAGGTGTTTTAATCAAGCTTTTGGGAGGCAAGGCTATGGGAACTTAATAGAAACTTAATTGTAAGGCCTTCTCATAGCGATGAGAAAAATTTAACTACCAATCTCTTCATCAACTTTAACGAAATATGGTCAATACGAATGACATTTTTCATCATTTTAGCTTTTTATTTATAAATAATGTTCTCTGTGAATATAAAGCTAAATTAACAACACAAATAATACCATTTTACCTGATCAAGACATTTAAAAATAAATATCTTTCGTATAAATGTATCCCAAATATTTAACTATTTATGATACGCCCAAAATCTATCTTGAGGGTGATATATCAACCGGCGGCCCTTTCGCTCCCACCTTGTTGTTGCTTCTCTTTCACGCGCGCGTTATGTCGGTTAATCTTGATAAATGGATTTCACTCGTTAAGCAATGCAAATATTTACCTGAAAATGAACTTAGAAAGCTATGCAATTATGTCTGTGAACTTCTTCTGGAAGAATGTAATGTTCAGCCTGTTTCATGCCCAGTGACTGTTTGTGGAGACATTCACGGGCAGTTTTACGACCTGCTACAATTATTTTCAACTGGTGGAGAGCTTCCAGACACTCATTACATTTTTATGGGTGACTTTGTAGATCGTGGTTATTACAGCCTGGAAACATTTACTCTCCTTATGGCTCTTAAGGCTAAGTATCCAGATAAAATCACTCTGTTAAGAGGCAATCACGAAAGTCGCCAAATAACTCAGGTGATAACGAAACAACCTCATCTTTAGTGTCATACTATGTTGTTATTATATAAGTTATGCTAAATTTTTTTTTTGACTTAGGTCTATGGCTTTTATGATGAATGCTTGAATAAATACGGAAACGCGAATCCGTGGCATCAATGTTGCAAAGTTTTTGATTTATTAACTATTGCTGCACTCATTGAAGAGACAATCCTATGTGTTCACGGTGGACTTTCTCCTGAAATTAAAACTCTGGATCAGATTAGAACTATTGAAAGAAATATGGAAATTCCGCACAAAGGTCCTCTTTGTGATTTACTCTGGTCTGATCCTGATGAAGTACAACAGTGGACTATTAGCCCTCGTGGGGCTGGCTATCTTTTTGGACGGAAGGTGTTGCTTAGTTTTTATAAATTTTATTTTTATGTATTCCTATGTATAAACATAATGGCTTTAAATTTAACCTTAGAGCCCATTTATTCTACGATATTTTTGAGCCTATACTGGATTATATGATGACTTAAAGTTAGCTAAAATATTGAGCCTGATTTGTGTTACCTATCTTGTTTACCACAATTAAGCACATATTTTTGTCTATTGTGTTACTTCGTACTGACTCATTCGTTTTTATTTTCCTTATAGGTCACTCAAAAATTTATCAAAATAAACGGATTGGAGTTAATATGTCGCGCTCATCAGCTAGTCCACGAGGGACATAAGTCTATGTTCGATAATCGTCTTATAACTGTGTGGTCGGCACCCAACTATTGTTACAGATGTGGAAACATTGCTGCTGTTCTTGAGATTCGAGAGCCTGGGCAATACGAACCAAAGCTTTTTAGTGCCGTTCCTGATTCTGAACGCGTCATTCCCCCATCACGCATTACTCCTTATTTTCTTTAAGTTCACTTTATGGCACTTATCTTCCTCCATTCTCAACCTGCCAGGTGAGTTTGTATAAAGTTCTGTCACACCTGACCAAATTATTTCTGTTGGCTTAATGCCCATGCATCCTTTCTATTCTGTCTATTATAATGTAGATATTTTCAAGATGATTTTTTCAAAACTGCATTTTGATGCTTTTTTTACTGCTTGGTTGACCACTTATGATGTAAATTAAAACATTATAGTATTATGTAAATATGCATGTCTGTGGAAGCACTTAATTAATTTTGTAATAATAGGTTTCGATCTTTCTATTTTTATTTTGCCATAGAGGGATTTTAACTATTATATGGCAAGCTAGTTTGTCTAAATATGTTTCATTCACTTGAAAGGAGAATTACCAAATTGCATATTGCATCCATTTATCCTATATTAGAGCTAGTAAACTTCTCTGTATGCAAAAAAGTTCATATTCTTATAAACTCTGAATTACCTGTGGAGCTAAGACAACCTTTATTTCGCCTTTAGCTTTACGTAAACTTTACATAACTTAGCAATGAAATGCACCACGAAATATCGTATTACCGTAGATAGTCAAAATTTAACCAGATCAACTTGGCATTTACCTTCATTCCGTTATGCGACTACGATGAACTTTCCCTAACTCTTGATTTATTTGATAGGCATCGTCGACGTAAAAATGTCAAAAACCTCAACCACGTGCCTCCAATTTACCCTAACTTGGTCTATCTAATGGTACACTTCATAATATAATTGAATATTATATGCTTGCGGATAAGTGATATAGTTTCAAAATTTACGTAAACTGGCCGCGGACGTGAAAATTCAGTTGTAAATGAGCAGCTGCACTCTCCTTAATCGCCTATATTATTAATACTGAAATGTGGGCTCTGGATTATGCTAGTTTTCCTGTGTGTTGCGCGCGTGAACTTCCCATGAGTTATATACAGTGAGAGCCCCAAGCATATTCGAAGTTACTCAAGCCATATCTTGTTTGGCATTACCTTCTGATTTCTCTCTATCCTTTCAAGCTTATGTAACAGTAAAGTATTTCCTGTTTGCGATATTGCCTTCTTTATTTATTTTTAAGACATTAATCTTCGGCTATTCGTGAAATCTTCATATCCTGCTTTACACGCATGCATGTAGAAATGTGGGTTTTGAAGGATACCTTGAAAGATTGATGTTAGAGTATCTTTCATTTTGTTTGAAGAGGTGAGTTGAATGGATTCGCAAGTTGGTTCCACTGGAAGCTGCTGTGGGATTGCCTTGGAATTATGGTTGTATATTTGTGCGAATAGGTCCTCGGTGCACCGCCCTGCGAACACGACGAATCCATGCTCCGATTTCGTCCGTCATGTGACGGGCATCGTCAGAGCAGGATACCATGTTCAACGCTAATTCATCAAAAATCCGAAGTCAAGAAAGGTGGCCGGCTTCAAACATACCTACTTCTTATAGTTTAATTTAGTCTACATAGGCTGTTTTGTGTTCATATAAACTCTTAGGTATGGGCATACAGGTCTCTCTTGTGTGGGCGCTACCGCATTAACACAAATTCTTGTTATAGCCCGATCTGAAAAGAGGGTCAGAGTATACTCGAAAGGAAGGCACTACCAAGGACAGTGTTATTTTTTCTTTATAAATGGTTTTTCGTCTTATTGCACGATGGAAGCATAAGGATACTGGTAGAGCGGTTTAACATAATCTAGCCTTAAATATGTATTACCCTCCGAACTATTCGACAATATTATAAAATGATTGTCAATCAGTCCTTGTGGATAATTATTCTCAGTGAGTCCTAGGCTTCCCATGACCGTACTCCGGAGTATTCCATCCTTAATTCCATAAGTATGGTTTGATTGGAAGTTAAGAGTTAATTAAGCATGCAAATTCTTTAGTAAAACTTTTTTGATAGCTTTCTTTAGGCAAATGGCTTCTACATCCAAGAGAGGTAGGTGTCCATTCTCTTCCACATCCATGGTAAATTGACTTTTCATCCATTTCATTTATGAAGATCGGGAAATCGTATATTTTTTCCTCTTCCATGCCACCAAATTGCGAAGTAGTCATCCAAATATCGCATGATTACTCTTTGCTGCTGGGGTGACATTTTGAAATTCTTCTCTTACTTGTCCATGAAGATAAAGGTGAGAGTGGTGAGCCCATAGGCAGACCAACTATTTGCTCAAAGATACAACGTGAAATAGGTCGTTCTTATTGTTAGGTTGATTATTCGGGTTAGCGACTCTACACATTCATTCTGTCCCCAGGATCTCTTTTTTTCCAAGATCTCTCGTTTGTAAGTGTTTTTCCCCCCTGTGATGTTAGTGTGCATCGACTATACCTCAAAGCTCAACAAAAGTTTGTTTCATTCCAACCATGCGCCTTTGATTTTTTAGGAAAATTCTTATGAGTTCTTCAGTGTACTCGATAATCTGTTATTCACTTTCTTTACTTTGAGGCAGATAAATTCCGCCAATTTATGTGTCGGTCTATGTTTGTTGTTGATTATCAGTCTCAATGGTTCTCCTTCTTTGTGTACCTTCGGTAAATCATATGCTACTGTGACCCTTGCATCCTTTAGTATGAGTGAGTTCATTTTTCGATTTTCCCTTTCATATTCATTCCTTGCAGTACCACTATGATTTTAACTGTTGGGTCTTTTGTTAGTAGTCGATAAGTTGTAATTTCACAGAGAACTCTTCCCATTTTTTGTATATTCTTTTCTGTCTATCACCACTGTGGCACCTCTTTTGTCAGCTTGTAGAACTATTTTATCGTTTCTTTTCAATTATGTATCTATCTTGGTATATTGTTTTATGTGTGGGTTCTTGATGCACAAAGATAGTTGGGATTATTTCAATTTTCAGCTCTCTTTTTGATTGAAGGTATAAAGACCAAGATGGTGTGGCCTTTTGTGTGGTCGCAGTCCCCTTTCGTTGTATAGAAGTTGTTTGACCTTGTTTTCGCAACTCGGTCATATTGGTAGAAAGACTTAGATAAATGCATCTTGTCCGGAGTCCATTGTATGCATAATCATTTCTAAAGTCGGGCCGTGGACGTGGTACATTCCCAGACGTTTCGCCAGCATCGTAATCGGCATTGTCAGTGAGTTTTGCCATTTGTAGCACGATATTAAAACTCGTTAAAGAGACAAGTGAAGCCGATCCTTTGACCAAACTTGTGCTAAACAGTTATGGTATCTCCCCTTCTGCCCTGGCCTATACACACTTCCTATATCCTATCATGCTTTCTTTGTCACCATTTTTACTTGCTTAATTAAATGTGTTACTGTGTGCCCTTTTGAGTGGCTTTCAGGAGAACTCTCCACACTCCACGCTGGCCTTCTCACCTTCCTTCATCCTTGTGCTGGGGATGCTGATCAGAGTCTGCCATATTGTTACGCAGTCCTCCTTCACTAGGTCTTACCACAGTCTCTCTCTTGCCCCGGTACAGCTTGCTCTGACTAGGTTAAATGTTGAACCACAACATTTGTGGGTTGGCCCACAATATGTTATGGTATGGGAAGTCATAGACTTGGTATTAGAGATCGGAACAGGATAGACGCGGCGGCGATGGGAGCTAGTGGGCTGAAAGTAGGTTTTATAAGAGACGTGGTCCATGTGGTAAAGGCCTAATCATAAGACTTACTCAGAGGTTTTAGACTCAAATTAGTCACCCAGACGCAGGGGAGGTCGAATAACACCTCGAGTGGCACAAATGGGGTTGCAAGGGTCGAGTGAAATATGTGAACCAGGGAGAGGGCAGATGGATTTTACGGGACAAGAGAGAGACTGTGATAAGACCTAGGGAAGGGGGACTGCATATCAATATGGCTGACTGATTAACATTCTCAGCACAAAGATTAAGGGGGATGGAAAGGCCTGCGTGGAGAGCGAAGGGTTCTCATGAAAGCCGCTCAAAAGGGCACACTGTAAAACATTTAATTAAGCAAGTAAAAAATTGTGATAGGAGGATATAGGAAATGTGAATAGGCCAGGGCAGAAGGGGAGATACCATAACTGTTTAGCACACATTTAGTCAAAGGATCGGCTTCATTTGTTTCTTTGACGAATTGTAATATCGTGCTACAAATGTAAAAACTAACTGACGATGCCGGCGAAACGTCTGGGAATGTACCATGTCCACGGTCCGACTTTGGAAATGATTATGCATACAATGGACTCCGGACTAGGTGCTTTCCTCTAAGTCTTCCTACCTATATGACCGAGTTGCGAAAACAAGGTCAAACAACTTCTCTTTTTGATTCTTCAGTTAGCTCCCCAGACTTATTTATCACCTCCACTTAAATGTCAGTGATTACCTTCCTTTCATTAGAAAGTTCAAAATTTGGTCCCTTCTGGAAATTCTCTGTGGTTTTTAGGTCAAGAGGAACGGAAGACAGATTCGCTGTCATCATTTCTTGTCTGGACTGTTAGATCCGTCATCGTAGAGTTATCTTCATTTTTCCGGATGGTTGGTTCTTGGGCTGCCTATATATCAGATATTCATTCAGCTTCTAGTGCCTTCTTTTGATTAAGTCTGATATCCTTTTAGACATTTTGTTTGCTATCTGTAGTTTAATGAAATCCTTAGGGTGGCTTTACTATATAGTAATTTATTCAGAGAATTATCTCTATATCATTAATTATCATCGACACTGGGTTTATTATCTATTTGACTAAATTTCATTTTTTTCCTTCTATATCCTTAGTTGAAGAACTACCAATATTCGATAAGAACAGATGGGTTTTCAAAAAATCCTCTAATAGATTAATGTTGGCATACTTTTGATTTCGTTTTAAGAGACGAGTAGAAGGGATTATAGAAGTGGTTTCATCTCTTTTTCGCAATTTGGTCGTATTAATGGGGCTACCTAAATTAGCACATCTTTTACAGAGCCCAAAGCATTCATGATAATTTCCAGCATCGTACTGTAGACTTGGTAAATTCCCAGATGTTTTACCGGCATTGCCATCTTTGGGACCACACTA